TTTATTTTTCTCCCAACACGTACTTTTTTTTACTTCCTGAAATGAGGCAGGCAAAGCTTTTGTTTTGCTGGATTGTTTTCCCCCTCTTGGATCAAAGTCTTGTATATTCGTAGGTACATACATATACTCTCTGCTGATCATTTGTTTCCTGATGAAGAAATATTCTTGTGTGATTGTCCACTTTATGTCAACATAGTTTTTTATGGTTGCATATCAAAATGGAAAAACTAAGCAAACCGGGGTGATAGTTCACCTTTTAATTAAAAGTTTATCTTTTGGATTTGTGTCCTTTTAAATGCCAATACCTCTTTCAAATAATTTTAAATAAACACTTTGTATTATTAGCTACATTAAAATTTGTTGTTAAATTTTTGCTTGTTTATTGATTTTTATGTAACTACTCTTTATGTTTAAGGTTGTCTTTTTATATTATATAATATTTAGTTTGTCTACTGTGGTAAGAGACAATGGTCAAAGGATGTGTTTTCCACTTACTCTCTGAAACAATTTGGTTTGACAGCAATTTATTTGGACTAAAGTTTACAATCTTTAGTACACTTAAGGGTGATCCAAGAAACATGCGTTTTTCAAAATCAAAATACATTAAGCACCTTTGATTACCAAAAAAAGCCAATCCCAACACACTATTAATTTATTAAGACTCATCTGACTAATTCATGATTGGTAATAACGAGAAAGAGGTTAATAAAAGGCTAAACTCATTTTTTTTTAATGGAGGGAGTTGAGTAGAATTTCAGATTTATGAATATCAATCAGGGGATTGTTGAGTGAAAGTGGTAAAATGTATGCTATATTTGCGTTAAATTATAAGATTGCATTTAATAATTGTGGTTGGAAGTCTACAAAACGACATTTCAGGTACTTTAGAAAACCGGGAAATGAGAAATCATGCGGTGATTAATGATCCATATATGATCTATAATCATCTGTCTAAGTGAATGTATGTTCCATTTTTGTCGTGATTATAGTTTTAATTCGATCTGTCGGCTTTAATGAGACAATCTGGTTTTTCTTTTTATGTCAGAGCATCAGTAGATATTTGTAATACAGAAAAAAGGCAAAACGTGTAATTATGAGAGTTGAATGTTTTAGTCATAGCACGTGGACAAAAATAAATCATCCACCTCATGATTCATAGGTTTGTCTAACTTAATATTGAGCTTCGATGTACATATCTACATGTATGACTGTATCTAGGTATTCGGTACAATACTGAAACCAGATTTTTTCAGAAATGTAAGCCATAGGACTTCCTAAGCTAGCTTAGCTTCCATCACCTGATTTCTTGGGAAGACTGCACAAATTTAAAAGATTTTCTATGCTAATAATGAAGAGAAAGGACTCTAAAGAAACATAATGACGAAAACAGAGAAGTTTTAGAGAAAGAGCTGCGAACATTCTAAGAAGTTCGTCAGTGTAATGGCGTGTCTTTGCTGAGCCATATCCTTGTATCTCATCTTTTTAAACTGAATCTAGTTCTGTAGAATGTTCATATAATGATAGATATAGAACATTTTGATTTTATATGTGTATACTTCAATGTGTTAAGAAGTTGCTGCGTCAATAACATAATGATATTTTTTCTCCTCTTTTTTTTTTTTTTTTTTTTTGAGAAATGGCATTTCTCTGAAACATGAAAAAAAGCACAAAATTTTTTATCCTCAAATGCTTTATGGAAAAGAAAGAAGTGAAGACAGTTTTCCACAATTAATGCAGCAAAGGTTATTAACAAGGTAC